ATGGTTAAGGGTTCAGTCTTTACTAAGGTCCAGTAACAAGCCAAAAGCTGTTTCTCAAAAGGAGAGCAGTTATCTACAGAGGATGGCAGGGCTTTGCTCCAAAATCCTAAGAGTTTGCTCTGTGATTCACCAACAGGGGCTTGCCAAAGACTCCAAACACAGCATCTCTATATGCCACTGACATTTCAAGCACCACTGGATCAGCCAGATCATATGGCCCAAGTGGCAGAGCGGCTTGAACTACAGCCTGAACCTGTTGTGGAGTCTTCTCTTGTTCTGGGCCCCACGAAAAACTAGCAACTTGATAAATACGCGTGAGTAGCACACCCAAATGGGGGATATATTGCCTCCAAAAATCCAACACCAACTAGGCCTTTTGCCTCCTTTTTAGTTGATGGAGTGGCCAGATACAATAACTTATCCTTCACTTTAGAAGGAATATTTTGACATACCCTCACCACTGGACCCCTAGAAATTTCATTGAAGTGGAAGGCACCTGAATTTTTGTTGGATTAATTTCCCACCCTCTAGCACACTAATGGAGCCTTGGTTGCGAAGTTGTTAAGAACTTGCCTGCTAACCAAAAGGCTGGCAGTTTGAATTCACCAGCTGCTCTTACCCTCTGGGGTAGTTTTACTCTGTTTCCTTGGAGAAACTCTGAGAATCATGACCCAGCCTAGCTGACACACAACCTAAACCATCACAGTCATGTTGGCCTAGATATTTTATTCTAAGTCCAAGGTCCTTGTAGGTTTCTGTTTGAGGGCTGGAATTACAGTTGCCACTGAGACTTTCTGGAATAAGTGAAGGATCAAGATGCATGAGCTGTTGAGCCTGGTGGCCTTTGGCTGTGGCTGAGACCACTTTCAGAGGGTGTGGAATGGAGATGATTCATTCCAAGCCTGCATCGAGTAGACTTTGCTCCCATAAGAATGTTTGGGTGGGGTAGGGTGAGGGATGTAAACTGGAATTTCTGAGCCTGCATTTTCTCTAATTTATTTGTCATTGCCACCGGCAGTCCCATGGGCCTGGCCCTTTGACTTGGCAATCTTCTTTTCAGAAAGGAAATTAACCATGGCTGCATTCCCTGGTGTGGGTCAGGTGGCTGACATTTCACAAAATACCAGGTGGGACCACCTGACCAGCGTCTCTGTACACGTGTCCAGCAGGGCCGTTCCTGCTCTGATGATGGTTCCTCAACAGTCACATCCTCAATGTTTCCTGAACAGCTCCTGAAAACCCAGGGACTCTGGAGGACGCACCCTAGGCATGAACTCTGCTTCTATACTGGATTGTTTTTAAAATGCTCTTGGGCATTTGCTTTAAATAGGACATTAAGGAAATGCTCATAATATATCATATATGATAATATAGCTAGGTGAGAAAAGCAGAAAACAAAACAAAAGTGATTCTAGTTTTTAGAGAAAAAAATACATATGTTCAGAAGAAAGGATGGGAACATGCTGTTGCATTGATTGGAGTTAAACTCTGAGGGATGGGACATGGGTAATTTAGCTTCTTTATATTTCCATTGGGCAAATCTACTGCAGAAGACCTCTTTAAAATGTTAAAAGCAAAGATGTCACTTAGAGAATGTGCAAAGATCTGGAGTTAGAAAACCAGAAAGGAAGAACACACTCGGTATTTCTCAAGCTGAAAGAACTGATGAAAAAGTTCAAGCCTCGAGTTGCAATATTGAAAGATTCTATGGCAAAAATATGAATGATGCAGGAAGTGTCAAAAGAAGATAGAAGGAATACATACAGCTACTGTACCAAAAAAGAATTGGTCAACGTTCAACCATTTCAGGAGGTAGCATAGATCAAGAACAGATGGTACTGAAGGAAGAGGTCCAAACTACACTGACAGCATTGGTGACACAGAAGTCTCCAGGAATAGATGGAATACCAATTGAGATGTTTCAACAAATGGATACAACACCGGAAGCACTCACTTGTCTATGCCAAGCAAGTTGAAAGACAGCTAACTGGTTAACCGACCGGAAGAGATCCATTCTTTGTGCCCATTCCAAAAAAAGGTGATCCAACCAAATGTGGAAATTATTGAACAATGTCATTAATATCACATGCAAGTAAAATTCTGTGAAAGATCATTCAAAAGCAGTTGCAGCAGTACATTGACAGGGAACCGCCAGAAATTCAAGCCGGATTCAGAAGAAGACGTGGAACAAGGGATATCATTGCCGATGTCAGATGGATCATGGCTGAAAGCAGAGAATACCAGAAAGATGTTTACCTGTCTTTTATTGACTACGCAAAGGCATTCAACAGCGTGAATCATAAAAAATTATGGATAACATTGGGAAGAATGGGAATTCTAGAACACTTAATTGTGCTCATGAAGAACTTGTACATAGACCAAGAGGCAGTCATTTGAACAGAACTAGGGGATACTGCATGGTTTAAAATCAGGAAAGTGTGCGTCAGGGTTGTATCCTTTGCTGTGCTTATTCAATCTGTATGCTGAGCAAATAATCCAAGGAGCTGGATGATATGAAGAAGTATGCGGCATCAGGATTGGAGGAAGATTCATTAACATCCTGCGATATGCAGATGACACAGCCTTGATTGCTGAAAGTGAAGAGGACTTGAAGCACTTACTGATGAAGATCAAAGACTACGGCTTTCAGTGTGGATTGCACCTCAACATAAAGAAAACAAAAGTCCTCACAACTAGACCAAAAAGCAACATCATGATCAACAGTGAAAATATTGAAGTTGTCAAGGATTTCATTTTACTTGGATCCACAATCAACTCCCATGGAAGCAACAGTCAAGAAATCAAATGACGACATATTGCCTTGGGTAAATCTGCTGCAACAGACCTCTTTAAAGTGTTAAAAAGCAAAGATGTCTCTTTGAGGTCTAAGGTGTACCTGACCCAAGCCATGGTCTTTTAAATCACCTCATATGCATGCGAAAGCTGGACAATGAATAAAGAAGACTGAAGAATTGATGCCTTTGAATGATGGTGTTGGTGAAGAATATTGAATATACCACGGACTACCAGAAGAACGAACAAATCTGTCTTGGAAGAAGTATAGCCAGAATGCTCCTTAGAAGCGAGCATGGAAGGACTTCATCTCATATACTTTGGACACGTTATCAGGAAGAATCAGTCCCTGGAGAAGACCATCATACTTGGTAAAGCAGAAGGTCAGTGAAAAAGAGAAAGACCCTCAGGGAGATGGACTGATACAGCGGCTGCAACAATGGGCTCAAACACAGCAACAATTGTGAGGATGGCACAGGACCAGGTAATGTTTTCGTTCTGTTGTACATAGGGTTGCTATGAGTCAGAATTGACTTGACAGCACCTAACAACAACAACAGCTTCTGTCTTATATACATATGATAGATTCTGACTTTCACCAGGTGTCTCACCTGGTGTCATGGGCAGCAGGGTGCTTGGTGGACACTAGGCATGGAAGATTGAGTTTTCTTCCTTGAATGCTACTGGCCCCCTTGCTCTATGTAGAACAATGTACAGTCCTTGTCTTTTGTGTTCTTGCCCTCAGCCAACTCTCTGACTTAATTTCCTACTTCTCGCATCCTCCTTCTCACTGTGACCAGCCATGCTAACCTCCTTGCTGTTCCTTACACAGGCCAAACATGGGGCTGCTTCAGGGCCCTTGCACTTGTTGTTTCCGTGACCTTGATGGCTGCTTCCTCCCTTCATTCATGTCTCTGCCTAAATACCACCTCTGTTAAGGGGCCTTCCCTGACCACTTGTCCAAAATAGTGTCTCTGCCTCCACTGCTTCCCTTTTTCAGCTCAGTGACCAAGAGAACTTGGGCTTTTATTCCCCACTCCATCCCATTTTCTGAAACAGTATCCAGCGTACAGTTAAAAAAGCCAAAGCCAATCAGTTGCTGTCCAGTCCATTCTGACTCATGGTGACCCCAGGTGTGTCAGAGTAGAAATGTGCTCTATTGCGTTTTCAATGGCTGATTTTTGGAAGTAGATTGTCAGGCCTTTCTTCCGAGGCACCTCTGGGTGGACCCTAACCTTCAACTTTTTGGTTAGCAGCTGAGTGAGTTAACTTTTTGCACCTCCTGGGGGACTCCCTGGCACATAGTAGGGGCTCAATAAATGTGTTGAATGAGTAAGTGAATGAATGAATAGATTCTTCACCTACACACTCACACACACACACACACACACACACTTTTGTTTCCTGAGTCTGTTGGCATTTTCCTGTCCATCACCGTCACTCCATTTGCTGTGGTCATGATGATGACGATGAGGATGCTGAATGCATGGCAGTGTTGCAGTGTGGATTGTAATCATTATATGGAATTTGTCTAACACAGTGTCTTCTTGTTAGGTGCTGTTGAGTCAGCCCCGATTCATGGCAACCCCATTCACAACAAAATGAAATGCAGCCCAGTCCTGCACCATCCCCATGATCAGTTGTGGACTGGAACATTTTGATCCAGAGGGTTTTCACTGGCTGATTTTTAGAAGCAGATCACCAGGCCTTTCTTCCTAGTCCATCTTAGTCTGGAAGCTGTACTGAAACCTGTTCAGCATCATAGCAACATGCAAGCCTCCACTGAGACATGGGTGGTGAGTGTACATGAGGTGCATTGGCTGGGAATCCAACCCAGGTTTTCCACATGGAAGGCAAGAATTTTACCACGGAACCACCAATGCCTCTCAAAACAGAGTGAGTGACACATTGCAGAAATGACAAGTAGGTTACAGGCTTGAGATTCTAACCTAGGTTTCCTTGCGTACCCTCAGTGATGGGCAGCCCATTCCTCCAAGGCAGTCCACAGCATTTAAGGGTAGCTCTAGGATGGCACAGGAGGTAGAAAGGGGATAAAGGGTTTTGGGCAAAGGACAGTATTTTCCTCCCTTAGGAAAATAGTGTGTGTTCCCTGTTAGAGAAGGCCAACCTCTGCTTTATGAATCACCCTTCAGAAGGCTGCAGAATCAAAGGGATCCCTTGGGAAGGAGACCCCTGGTCAGTCCTACCTGAATGAACGGGAAGAGGAACCCAACAGTAAAGTTGGAGAGCCAGTTGACTGTGCCTGCGATGATGAAAGCAGCGGGCCGCTCTGACTGTCGGAAAAGCTCCCCGGTCAGGATGAATGGGATGCCACCTGCAGTATCAGAGCCAAGACCCAGAATTAATCACCCCCAGAGGGTCAAACTGCCAGCATCCTTTCCCACATGTCAGGCTTTGAAGAATGGCCATGTGGCAGGGAGTGCTTTTGTGACGAGAGCCAGCTGTGCCTGTTTGAGTGATGGCACGGAGAGTGGGTGCTGAGGTTAGACAGCTCTTAATACCTCATTGTGTCAAAACCATTGCTTGGACCTGGCCCATGCCCATGAGAGACTCATTATTCTCTCCGCTGCCCAAATACCCTCTGAATCAAGGCCTGATCCATCACAAATTGAGTACTATATGAACACATTTGATTTACAAGGCAACTGACATTTACTGACTACATTAATTGTCAGGTATGTTCACAATTATGTTGTTGCTGTTGTTAGCTGATGTCGAGTCAGCTCCCCATTCATACTGACCCCATGCACAACAGAATGAAACATTGCCTTATCCTTTGCCATCACTGTGATCCATAGGGTTTTCACTGGCTGATTTTTGGAAGTAGAGCTCCATCTTAGTCTAGAAGCTTTGCTGGAACATTTTCAGTATCATAGCATCACACAAGCCTCCACTGACAGAAGATGGTAGCTGTGCATGAGGTGCATTGGCTGGGAATAGAACCTGAGTATCCCACATGGAAGGTTAAGAATTCCCCATGCACCACTGAACCGCCACTGCACCATTCACAACTTAATCTTCAGAATGACAGAATCAGGCTACCACATTCCCTGTGTGAGAAAACTGAGGCCCAGAGAGTTTACACAACTTGCTCAAGGCTACCCAGCTTGTGAGCAGCAGGGTCAGAACTCAGGCTCAGGGGTCTGGCCCCAAATCTTCTGCTAAGGCTTGCCTGAGGGAGGCTGGAAGTCCTTGCTTAGCTTGATCTCCCTTTGTCCTCCGTAACTCCCTTGATTGATGTGCTCTGGGCCCAGCCCGAGTCCTCCCTGGCAGCTGAGCATTTCTCAGATGGAGACATCACCGACATTTGAGTGGGACAGTTATTTATTTTCTGAGAATGTTCTGTGCAAAGGCAAGATGTTTCTCTCTCCTGGCCCCCTGATGCTGGGAGTGCTCCCAGTCACCATGACAACCAAACTGCATCCACACATTTCCAAAGTCCCTCAGGGGTACCACATTTGGCTGAGAACCTCTGAGGTATGTGTCCTCCCCTTCCTGCATACCCTGCTCAGTGAAATCTGGGATTAGGTCATGTGCCCAGATCTAGGATTGGGGCTCAGTATGACTGCTGAGGCCCTGTATGTACCTCCACCCTGAAGCATCTCCAACTAGAGTCCACTCTGCCAAGGAGACCTACCACTTGGTGTTCCAAAGAGAAGATAACGTGGGTAGTAGAAGCGCAATCTCTGAGTTTAGCAAACTCTAGGGTGACACTGAACAGAGTTTGGAAACCACTAGACTGAGTCATTCATTCTCTTAACATTTGATGATTGTTTCCTGTGCTGGAGTCAGTCCTACAGTGATGGATGAGAGTGACAATGTCCCTACCCTCATGAGACTTCCTTGCTTGGTGGGGGAGACAAAGCGACTTGTTTGTTTAAATGTGATTGTTGTTGTTGTTAGCTACTGTCAAGTTGGCCCCCACTCATGGTGACCCCATGCACAACCAGTCATGCACCATCCCTATGATTGGTTGCAGGTCAGGCTGTTGTAATTCATTGGGTGTGATAAGCATGCTAAAAGAAATGCACAGGGCAATGGGGGTCTATTTTAAGAAAGGTTGGTGGAAGGCTCTCTGGGGAGGTGATGGTGGGGCTGGGGATTGAGGAGGAGCTTTAACTTGTGAAGATCCAGGGAATATGCCACCTGGGGGTAGGAGGATAGATACCATGAGCAGAGAAAAGGAATGGGCCAAGGTTTAGAAAACGGGTTAATATGGCTGGAAACCTTAGAGAGGGCAGAAAGGAATGAGGCAAACGTGAGCAGGACCATTAAGCAACCTCTTGTATATCCAGGGGAGGGGTTTGCTAGTGAAAAAGACCACCAAGGGGTTCTAAGCAGACTTGAGATTCTAATGCAATCAATTTGCATTTTACAGAGATCATGATTGTGCAGAGAAGGGAGTGTAGGGTGCTATGAGTGGATGCAGGTGGCTGTTGGGGAAATCCAGGAAGGAAGTAATGGTTGTCTGGGCCAGGATAGGGGCAGTGGAGATGGAAGGAAAGGGCCAAATTTGGAGACTCTCTACCCCAAAGAGGCATAGCTTTCAGTGTGAACATTGCATGTAACCACAATTACTCAGTATCAAGATGTTGGTTAAGATAACTCAACCAGATGGGAAGGCAGAGAGGGTTAGGAGCTGGTTGAATGGACATGGGGAATCGGGGTGGAAAGGAGAAGTGTGCTGTCTCAGTATGGGGAGAGCAATTAGGGTCACATAACAATGTATGTATACATTTTTGTATGGGAGACTAACTTGAAATGTAAACTTCATTTAAACTATAATAATAATAATAATAATAATAAAAAGATAACTCAACCAAGCAGCCCAGCAGCCCAGAACCATAGAACTGGAATGTTTACGCTTGTCAACACACCTTGCTGCAAACAAGCCTTAGATTCCACAAACTCAAAAATGATGCAGAATGGACAGTCTTCTCACTCCCCACTAGACTGTGAGCACTTCTGGGCAGGCACTGTCTCCATTTGCCTGGGACATTTGACGAAGAGTTGTTGTTGTTAACTGCTGTCAGGCTGACCCCTGACTCATAGCAACCCCATGCACAATGAAACGAAACACTTTTCTTCCTAGTCCATCTTAGTCTGAAAGCTTTGCTGAAACCTGTTCAGCATCATAGAAATATGCAAACCTCCACTGGCAGATGTCTGGTGGCTACACATAAGGTGCACTGACTGGGAATTGAGCCCAGGTTTGCAGCATGCAAGATGAGAATTCTACCATTGAACCGACAATGTCCCCTTGACAGAGAGTAGATAATCAGTACTTACGTAATTGAATTAAAAGCACAAATCTTGATTTTGAGAAAATTCCATGTGCTGTTTGCTAAAAAGAAAGTAGAGTCTGCATATCTCTAAGGCATTTATCAAAATGTGTGAGAACAATGGTTACACACTGAAATGGGATAAAACCAGCCTCCAGGTTGATAGAGAGCAGATTATTTCATTGCCAGAAAGTGTTTGTGTTATACACCCGTGGGTCCTGCAGCTGATATCACTGGGAACCTTGCAGCTATCTCAGGGGGTCAGTTCACAGCTCTTCTGCAGCCTGAGTAGGGTTGAGAGCCAGTGCTTCATCTTCCCTGAGTTCCTTAGGTGTACTTCTTGGTAACTAAAGAATCCTGTATAGCTCAGTTAGCACTTTCAACTGGTACAATGAGCTTATATTGCAGTTGAACATTGGCAAATCTGCCTTCCCTGCTGAAAGAGCAAAGGGAGCTTCCTCCTTTTGCATCCAGTTATTGTTGTTGTGTGTCATCTAGTAGATTCCAACCTCGTAGCGGTCCCATGTGACAGAGCAGAACTGCCCCATAGGGTTTCCTATGCTGTAATCTTTACTTGAGTAGATCGCTAGATCTTTCCTCCAGTGGAGTGGCTGATGGGGTCAAACCGTTGACCTTTCTGTTAGCAGTCCAGCGCTTAATCATTGTGCCACTAGGGCAAAAGTCACAGCTGAAACGTCCTTTAGGGGCCACTTAGTTCAACCTATCCCCATTCTTAAGATGGGTAAACTGAGACCAGATAGCTGAAGTGAAATTCCTTATGTTTTAGAAGAGTAGAAGCCAGGACTTCTAAATTTCTGAACTAGCCTGTCTATTTTACTCAATGTTCTCCTTGGGAATTCCTAGTTCCTGCCCATGCTCAGACTATTCCCACTGCTGGAAATGTTCACCACGCTTTGGATGGACTTCAGGGCACATGAGGATATAGGTGATTTCCTCAGTGCAGGGCTTGGCTCATAGGATGTGATAAAAAGGTGATGACCTAAGTTATGGATTGAATCGTGTCTCCCAAAAAGACATGTTGAAGTCCTAACCTACAGTACCTGTGAACATGACCTTGTTTGGAAATAGGTCATTGAAGATGTTATAAGTTAGCATGAGGTCATATCAGAGTAAGGTGATCCTAATCCAATCATAGTGGTGTCCTAAGAAAAGAAGAGCAGAGATATAGAGAGACAGAGAGAAACTGACAACGGCCACGTGAAGATGCAGCTGCAAACCAAGGAACACCTGGAGACACCAGAAGCAATGAGAGAGGCATGGAGCATATTCTCCCTCAGAGTCTCAGAAGGAATCAACATGGCTGACACCCTGATCTCAGACTCCCAGCCTCCAGAACTGTGAGACAATACATTTCTGTTCTTATAGCCACGCAATTCGTGCTACTTTGTTGCGGCAGCCCTAAGAACACAATACAGCCCCTTTCTTGCCTTCTTCACAGTATAACCTCTGACCAGGCAGGTAACTAGCAAAGGTCTCTCTGGAGCAGCCTGGGGTCTCTCCCCCTGCAACATGTTTCCTAGCTAAACAGAGAGAAGACTCTTCAGAGAAAGGAAAGGAGGCTCCAGCAGAGCCTTAGTGTGGGGGTTTTATTTAATTAGGCAGAAAGAAGCAGTCCTTTCACCACCCTCTTATTCTCTATCACAGCCTCCTGTTTAATTCCTTTTGTGAGTTGCGCCATCATCCTTTTATTTATTTATTCCTTTGCTTGTTTACTGTGCTTGCGGGCAGGCGTCTTTTTCTCATTGTTTCTTTTTCCCATACCAAATTGTCTCTCTCCCTTAGTGGGTGCTCAATGGCCATTACTTGCATGGATGAATAAATAGGAAATGATGACAGTTAACCAGGTCTTTTAAGGATGATTAGCAACATCATTAAAAAGACAAGAAAGAAAAGAACAAAATGTATGTCAGAAGAGACTCTGAAGCTTGTTCTCGAACGCACAGTAGCTAAAGCAAGAGGAAGAAATGATGAAGTAAAAGAGCTGAACAGAAAAATTCAAAAGATGGCTCAA